TTTGGGCAGCCTGGTGCTAACCAAAGCAATAATCCATAACATTCTTTCTTTTATATTGGTTTTACAGAGCTCTGCTCAATACACTTGTGCCAGCTCTTGAATATTTCTTCTCAAGTCATGAAAATTCTACTAGTTCAGACTTCAAAACTACTTAGGACCAAAAGCAATCTATTGGAATTAATATTACACTGCCTCTTGAGTTTAAAAGCAAATCCTGGTATAACCAGGCATTTTATGAGTTTAGACAACACCAATGAGTCTCCAATGTCTTCATCTAGTGATCCCTGGTGATACAGTTGGCAAAACATAGTCTCTGTATCAAGAAAGATGAGGTGCCCAAAGGAGCTGCAAGTACAAGGGCTCCAATTTTGATCCCATCAGTCATCCGGCTCAAACATCCATCATGCACTACACAGAATTTGTTCTTTTTCATCCTTGCATATTTCTTGTACACAGTCTTGTATTCTTATGGTTTCAGATACACTGTGAGTATGCGAATCCACCTTACAAAATAGAAATATTGCAAAGGAAGCATATTTTAAAATAATTACAATAGCACTATATAAAAAGTATTATACTGCTTGAATAGTCTCTGTAGAAAACTTAATTACTGCATTGTCCCCTAATAACTGAGAAAAACTAAAGCAGCTGCTGCCCTTTAAGAGGATGTATTACTATGCTAATTCTACTAAAAACACAAATAGCATAAGAGGAAGTATAATACTTGAAAACCACCTCAAACATGCAAAACAAAGGTGAATATAAGCAATTTAAACAATTAACTGTCCTATTGACTCAAAATAGTACTTTAATGGGGTGCAAACTGCATTTCATTGAAATGAAACATCAAACAGAGAACATACCAGAAGAATTACACGCAGGGCTATTAAACTGCTGGCCCGTGGGCCGGACGCGTCACGTGGAAGCTGCGCCCACCCCATTGCCGGCAATGGAAAAACCAGTCCGATACGTTGCGCGACATCATGTGACATTGCGAGTTTAACATGCCTGAATTACAGGGTTGGAAGGGACTCTGGAGGTTTTCTAGTCCAACCCCCTACTCGAGCAGGAAACTCTATCCATAATATCCTAACATTCAGAACATTACAATGGCTCTGATCTTACGTACTACTGTAATGGAATAAGCAAGATGTAAAAGTCTCAGTAAAAAGTTGGCAGTATTTAACTTAAAAGTCAAAACATTAGCAACTTCAGGTTGCTCTCAACTTACCCAATTAAGCATTTTGATTAAGCCAAATCATACTTAATGTCTTGAGGCCAGAGGTACCCCAATAAAATCTGGTTTGCTACCTATCCTTTCCTATATATTTTCAACTGCATCACATTTGCTCAAGCAATTTTTTTCCCTGTAAAACATTCCCACAGTACTTGGCTGATTAGCCCTAATTGCAGGTTTACATGGGGAAAAAGAATCTCTGGCCCAGAAATCCCAAGTTTCTACTTCCAGAGGGAGGGTAAAGGATTCTGTGACAGTTCTTTAACTATTAAAGTAAAAACAACAAAACTCTACAACTGGATACTTTAAATCAATTTGAAGTAGCCCAGTTATGAAATAAATGTATCTGCTACCTGGCCTGATGATGAGTAACTATTTCAAAGAGGGTGCAGAGCAGCAGACTTTCTTTTAACTGATTTAAATGTGTAGCATAATAACTAACAGAGACATTCGGGATTATCAGAATCCCACTTATTTTCAGGAAAAGGAGATTGCAAAATTAAGTAAAAAAAAAATTTTTTTTTTTTTTACAGTACCCAGTTTATAACCTCCATTTCCTTAAATTAGCTAAGAAAGGAAGAAAGATATTTTATTCGGTAACTCATTTGTCAATTGCTGGAAAAGAGATTCCCTCAAACATATTTTCCCCAAAGGGAAAAAAACAGATACTGTACAATCAAGTACGCAGTCTCCTGCTTCTGTGAATGTTCATCTTCCTATTTTAACTTCCTCCTATATCCCAACGTTATCTTATCAGGTTTTGGGGCAAACAAGATTCAAACATATTAATAAATAAGCTATATATGAGGTTAGTGGAAGACTCCTCCCCTCACTCCCCCAAGGCATTGCACACTGCCAAGAAAAGTAATGATAAAAAGTAAAGATACGGTGGATTGCTGAAGCTGCAGCAGAATGAAGAATGTTTATACCATTTTTCTCTCCAGTGATTCCTTATCTATTTCGAAGCATTTCTAAATACTGTGATTTAAGGTAAAGAAACAAAGAAATGATGCTCTAACCCCACAGAACTATTCTTAGAATATAAAAATGAACGGTAGTTACAATCCAATGTTTGTTTAGCTAGGGCAGTGGTGGCGAACCTATGGCACGCGTGCCAGAGGCGGCACTCAGAGCCCTCTCTGTGGGCACATGTGCCATCGCCCCAGCCCCGCTTCCCCCCACAGCCCCCTCCTCACCAGCAGCCCTCCTGGAGGAGAGTCGCCCCCGGGCACAGCCCACACGGAGCAGCACAGCCAAGGACATAGCCGGGCAGCAGGGACAAGACTCCGCCCTCGCGCCCCATAGCGTGCAGATGCTGCTGCGGGGTGCAGGCGGAGGGCATGGCTGCCATGGTGCTACAGGGCTGCCTGGGCAATCTGCTGTGCTGGGCCATGGAGGCGGTGCATGGCCCTGTGGGTGGGCAGGGCAGGCGGGGGTGGAGCGGGGTCGGGTTTTGGGCACTCGGTCTCTAAAAGGTTCGCCATCACTGAGCTAAAGAAAGCTATGGGATGACCTGATAATAGGGACTGCCTTAGGGGTGCTGGAGGAGGTTGTGGGAAACAAGAGTGGTCTTTTGATATGCTGTGCATTTTGTATTATTTAAAATGTAAAATAACTTTTGTTGTTTTGATGCAGTGCATGTTTTGCATGCGATGAACTTAATTAGGGGTATGCGCCATTAATGAATATATGCATTGATATTTTGACATCTATGAAACCAGTATTTTATCGTGCTTTTGAGAAGATATGCACTTCAGCTCTGTACTCAGCTTCTGAGCAAACTTACTTGTTTCTGAGCTTCATTGGCTAAAACAGAAAATAGATTCAAAAAGCATTTTTGTACTTTGGAAATCGGATCAAAATCAAGAAAAAATAAATGCTACACAAGGTATCTTTTGGGGGTTTTTTTACGTTCTAGAACTGTAGTGCTTCTTTTGGGCTCAGTTTGCAACCAGAACTGGCTTGCAAAACTACTATATAAAAAGTTAGGAAAACAGTTAGTTATGAGTCGTGTTGAGAGCTCCTTTGGATGATCACCCATGTAATAAAATCCATTTATTTACTAAACCAACCAAAATTCCTCAACATTTCTTGTAGCAAATAAATCCCTCCTTTTCCTTTTTTGAACTTTGGGTTGGGGATAAAAATAATCCATGTAGAAACATTTCTGAGAAATGTTCCATCTTTCATATCAATAACATTCATATGCCAATGAAGAAAAAAGGGAAATGCTACAGCTAGAGCGAAAGGGGATGAAGAGAGTCATTTGACCGTGCCAGGAAACAAATCTAAAAACTGAAATGAAGTAAAATATAGAAGAATCATTATTAGAAGGCAAAAGAGAGAAAGATCTGCAGAAATACAAGAAACAAATATGAGAGTAATAGCATTATCCTTGTCTTTCCCAGACCCTGGAATTTACAGTTAAGCCTTGTTATCACCAGTGCTCAAATCATATCAGTTCTTACAAGGAATCATGTATTCAGCACAACTTTCTGCAGAGACAACTTATACATACATATACAGCAGTAAGCACGTATTTGCTTAATTTCTGCTAAGATCACCAAAGGACAGAAAAGGCATAAAGATACAGCTAATTCTTGGGTTATAATGACAATTGGGACTGGAATTTCCATTGCTAAAGTGCAACACCATGCAACCACATTGCTTAGTGATGGCAATCCCAGTTGCCATCATTTAGTGAAGACTGTGTAGTTGTTAAGTGAGGACTCCATATGAATGCGATGTGGGAAGAGGCATGAATCAGGAAGCGCTCGCTTATGCTGCTGAAAATTTCTCCCAGGCAAGCAGGTCAGCAGGCAAAAGCTATAAGAAGGTGGACAGGCGCTATAAGTGGGTGGCAAGGTGTTGTGGGCAGGTGCTACATAGATGCAGGGGCAGGTACTATGGTATATGTACAGGTGGGTAAGTGCCATAGACGGGCCTTACAGAATATGAGATCCTTATGCCACTGGGAGGTCTCCATGAGAAAAAGCGGTGGGAGCAGGAGTAAGTTGCTGGGGCAAAGTAGCAACTTCCTGCTGGCTTTGCCAATGACCTCGCTTGATGAGTTCTATGGAAGCAAAGAGAAATTCTGTTTGCCTCTAGGATGTAGGGAAATGTTTTAGCCAGGAGTCTAAATTAGATCTTTGATCTAATCAAGATCAAGATCACGTGAAGTATTAATACCACTTTACAATGCCTTGGTAAGGCCACACTTGGAATACTGCATCCAGTTTTGGTCACCACGATGTAAAAAAGATGTTGAGACTCTAGAAAGAGTACAGAGAAGAGCAACAAAGATGATTAGGGGACTGGAGGCAAAAGCATACAAGGAAAGGCTGCTGGAATTGGGTATGTCTAGTTTAATGAAGAGAAGGATGAGGGGGGACATGATAGCAGTGTTCCAATATCTCAGGGGCTGACACAAAAAAGAGGGAGTCAAGCTATTTTCCAAGGCGCATGAAGGCAGGACAAGAAGCAACGGATGGAAACTAATCAAGGAGAGAAGCAACCTAGAACTAAGGAGAAACTTCCTGACAGTTAGAACAATTAACCAGTGGAACAACCTGCCTCCAGAAACGGTGAATGCTCCAACAATGGAAGTTTTTAAGAAGAGACTGGACAGCCATTTATCCAAAACGGTATAGGGTTACTTGCCTGAGGAGGGGGTTGGACTTGATGACCTCCAAGGTCCCTTCCAACTTTTATTATTATTATTATTAGTATTAGTATTATTATTAGTATTATTATTAGTATTAGTATTAGTATTATTTGTATACTAATTAGTAATTTGCCTGGTCTCTGAAAACTATTGTCTGTGAACTTCATTATATCAGTTTAACCAGTTATTTTATAGATATTATATATTGGGAGACTGAGTAGCAGATCCTTCACACCTTGGATCTGTCCCAAATGTATAGTTTCCTTGATTTTTTTTATGTGAAATTCCTTTAATGCTGCTTTGAGTTGTCCTTCTTTTTACCAGACACTAGTAGATTATGGACTCCTTATCTGCCTCACATGCTGGCCCACAGCACTAATACCCAGTGCTTTTTTTCTAAAAAAAAAAAAAAAGGTGTGGGACCTCACACACTTCATACAACCCGCCTTGCCTATCCTACAAGGTTCCATCCCAAAAAGGTGCCGGAACTCCGTTCTGGGTATTCTATGACAAAAAAAGCCCTGCTAATACCAACCCAGAAAGTGGAGTCAGTGTGTATAATCTCAGAGAGTTTCAGGGAAAGGCGGTCTGAGATCTTAAATCTCTTAGACCATGGGTTCAATCCTGCTGTTACATTCACACTGTGCATAATTAATTCTCCCTGTTACCATTTTCATAAAGTAAAGAGTTCCAAATAGTTCCAATGTATTTTTTTTTCTAACCTTCCTGTATATAGCCTTTTCTGAATAACCATACTTTCAAAATGCATTTGCCCTGCAGATTTATAAAAAGGCACTTTGGATCCTGGCAGTTCTAATTTTCATGCTTTTCTTAATATACATGGAATTCATCTTTTCTTAGAACTGCTGCAGATTTACAAATTGCATGAAAAAGTCTGGCCACTCCAGTCAAATTTTATGTGAATCCCTAAGCATGAGTACAAATTTCAGAAGGGTTGAATTCTGAACCATGAAAAAATTGTAGCAGCTCCTCTTCTGTTCGGGATTCATCAATAGAAATTGACTAAGAGAATTTAAATCTTCCCATGCAATATTATTTACCTCACCTTCAAGATCCCTTACCTGCCTAGTCATCATGAGCTCAGACTTAACAATATGTATATATAAAATGACATAAGTGACTATTTAAAATAAAAATTAACTAGAAAATGTATTTTTATAAATTGCCATAAAAATATAACTAAGTAAATAAAAATAATTAAATACAAAATATAAATACTAAAAATCAAATAACTACCAGTATACAGGCAACACAGAGGATCTGTAAGATAATACTGCCATCTAGAGATCAATTTGATCTTCCTACCTTTGCTGTGATATTCTTTTGATAGCATAGTTTTAAATTAATCTGCAAATGTATTATTTTGCTATTTATTATATATTAATTCAATTTGAACGGCCTCCACTCACCATGCAACTCTGGACAATTAGCATTCAACATTAAAAATAAAAAGTTATGATTGGGCAACTCATATATTTACACATTTAATACCATATTTCCCCAAAAACAAGACCTAACTGGAAAATAAGCCCTAACGGATCTTTTGGAGCAAAAATTAATATACGATCCGGTCTTATTTTCAGGGAAACACGGTACTGACTTCTTTACTGGAAAAGTAAGATAATAAGCAAGAAAACAAACAAATAAGCACTATTCAAATTACAACAGTTCATTTAGTGACCGTCTGACGTTACAATGGTACTAAAAAAAGTGACTTATGACCATTTTTCACATGATCACTGCATCACCACAGGATCAAAACTCAAACACTTGGAAATTGACTCATATGTATGACAACTGCAATCTCCTGGAGTCATGTGATCACCTTTCCTGACAAGCAAAGTCAATGGGGATGCCAGAATCCCTTAACAACCATGTCACTAACTTAACTGCGGTGATTCCCTTAACAACTGTGGCAAGAGATATCGTAAAATAGGGTAAAACTCACTTAACCACTGTTCTCTCCTAGCAACAGAAATGTTGGGCTCAATTGTGGTCATAAATTGAGGGTTACCTGTATACATTCTGTACACAAGCAAGTGGGGCAGTACAACAAAATGTTATAATGTAAAATAAACTTCTGTTCCAGAGTCAAGTCATTCTGTTTCATTCTCTGTCATTATAATTTTCCTTCCCCCCCCTTCAACACTCATTGGCTGTGTTTTTCTGTTCAAAATTCCAACTACTTCTGTCTAGAAACTGCTTTCATTCCTTTTCATCGCAACAGAACTTTATGAACAGAAAACTTTCACAAGTTATCATTCTGTTCTTGCTGATTATCCTCAGTCCTTATTGGGCTATTTTAGATTCCTGCATTTCCTCCCCCCCCCTATTTTGGTTATATTCTGTAAGATACAGCTGACATCCTTATACCTATCCTTATAACAAGTGACAGTATGTTTCCCTTCCTGAATGCAATATATAGTAGTGGGATTCAGCCGGTTCGCACCAGTTCAGGAGAACCGGTAGCTAAATTTACCTGAATTTGGAGAACCAGCTGGCTTCTGGAAGTCCAGTCTAGGCCTTGGAGGCCTCCCAGGCCTAGAACGGCCCACCGGAAGTGCATGGATACCACTTCTGGTAGTCTGTTCTAGGCATCGGAGGCCTGGAGGAGGCCTCCCAGGCCTAGAACGGCCCACCAGAAGTGCATGATGCCACTTCCAGAAGTCCGTTCTAGGCATCGGAGACCCAGGCCTGCATCACATAATAGAACTGGTTGTTCAGGTATTTGAATCCCACCACTGGCAATATATATCATTATACCTCAGTTAAGGAGTGACTTACCAAAGAAGTTAGAGTCACTGATGTTTTTGGAGATCAAAGGAAGAAAATAAATAATCTAATCTAAATTCAGAACATTTGTTTAAAGAGTTTAGGCGAAATCTAAGATTCTCTCAAAGGGAAGGAAATAAATTACAATTCCTAGATCAAGACTTAGACATTTAGAAAATCAAATAAAAGAATCTCTCAAAGATCTATCAGTTTGACTTTGACAGTTAGTGATTTCTTCACAAAGAACAGAAAGTATTCAGACATTAGAAACTAGCTCATCAAAAACAGCATTAAAAAAAGTGATTTATGATATTTTTCACATGACCATTGCAACATTTACATTCGGATGCTTGACCAGTGGTTCATATTTATGATGGCTGCAGAGTCCCCGGGGATCATGTGATCACCTTTTGCAACCTTCTGACAAGCAAAGTCAATGGGGAAGCCAGGTTCACTTAACAACCAGGTTACTAACTTGACAACTGCAGTCATTCACTTAACAAAAGTGATAAGAAAAGTCATAAAATGGGGCAAAACTCACTTAACAAATGTTTTACTTAGCAACATGAATTTTGGACTCAATTGTGGTCATAAGTTGAGAACTACTTGTACAATTCTGTCTATGGGAGGATAACATAATACAATATCGTATCTCTCTATAGAATTTAAAGAAAGGTAGACTGTGTACACTATTTTCATAGCATATTCAAATTCAAGTTATTAAATGTTAAATGAACTGAGACATAACCAAAGAATATTTTTTGGCATTTCGAACAATAACAATAGCACATTTAGCATGTATATATTTATGACACAAATGCAAAGTTACAGCTTCAATGAAAAAACCAACCTTCATCCACTGTAAATTGACAGCTCTTATCATTGTAGAATAGAATTTTCTTCTTATCAGGACGAGTAACAAAGATGATCTGGTCTCCTAAAGCCTGCCTCAAATATAAATACAGAGACATAAGTGTATATCAATTGTGATTTCCAGAATGTCAAGATTTTGTACAACTTTTGTCTGCAAATATAGGTATGCAAAATGTTCAGCACCTACAGCCCATTTTAGAAAGAGACTATAGTGGAAGCCTGCAGTTGATTTGCTACATGTATACAAGTAACAAATCTGTTATCATTTGCAAGCATTTTAAGACAGATTGAATGAAAATACTGGGCACATATTCATAATTTTCTCCAATATATTTAAACATTTAATTAATTTCGATCCTGCTCAAGATGATATAATAGCAGCAGCAGCAGTAGTAGAGTTGGAAGGGACCTTTGAGGTCTTCTAGTCCAACCCCCTGCTCAGGCAGGAAACCCTATACCATTTCAGACAAATGGCTGTCCAGTTTCTTCTTAAAAACTTCCAGTGTTGGAGCATTCACAACTTCTGGAGGCAGGTTGTTCCACTGATTAATTGTTCCAACTGTCTTATATATCTTATATTTCTTTCTCTTATTTATTTGTTTTTCCTCTATGAGGAAGACTATCCCGAAGCTATCCAATTAGGTTCCATGGCTGAGGATGGGCTAGAATCTGGGCTTCTCCACCACTAAAGGACAGATTAGCAAATTAGGAAAAACTAACTATGAAAGTGACTGTTTGCTTTAGATTTTGAAAAACATATTATGTAACATAGCTTTGCCATTATCTCTAGAAGAATAGATAATAGATATCAAGACTTTTAGCCAAGATTGGCTCCAGAAGGAGCTAATATTTCCCTTGCTATACTGGACAAGGGTTAGGTTACTGCCTTGCCAGTTACCCTTTGAATATATGTAATAGCTTCAAGTGGCTTTAAGAAACTGTGCCATTGGGGAACAGCTAATTTATAAATACGTTTTAAAAAATTAAGTAAAAAATTTTCCTCATAAACTTTTTATGTAATATAATTACTATTATGTAAATTAGTCAGTGCTTTCTCAATGCCAACTAGCCTAAAGTGAGTAAATATGTACAAAAATACTAGGCCTGTTGTTGCAATTCAGTATCTGTCATTTTGTGAAAGAACGTGTTATCCTAAACTTTTGGCTTTGATCAAAAATAATAATACATCTTAGATATGAAAAGCCAAAATTCAGAATCCTTTGCAGCCATTAGGAGAAACTTCTCAATTGTAGAACCCCTAAGGAACTACTGTCAGCATCAGTTTTCCATTTGCAAATTTGCTATATTTAAGCTGTACTGCTATAATTGTTTGGATGTAAATTTCACTGAATTAAATACATCTTTTTGACAAGATGTACAGTATATAGCTCAGCAGTATAACACTGATTTGCTAACATAATGGCACTAGCTGCAATTTTAATCATCTCCATTTTAATGCTGACTTTTCTATTTTTAAGTATCTGTTTTTATATACAGTATGTATTTTTTTTTTAGTGACTATGCTACCCAGAGTATTATCCAGATTGCTAATTTTAATTTCTTCTTGTTGTATGTGTGTAGCCTAAGGAAGCCTTTTAACATAATCTGATTTAATATTACCTTTTAGACAATTTTTCGATCTGTATGAACTTTTCTTAACTATGCTGATATTGTTAATTTAGTTTTTGACATTTTAAATATTTTAATACCAATTTTCTTGTGCTGGTTAATGACCATGATGAAGTTAAACAATAATATATAAATTTGATAAAAAAAATAAATGCATTCAAAGCAATTCAGAGACCAATTTTTTCCAGATTCAGAAACTGCCAAATTGTTCAAGAAGAAACTTGCAAATTTGACACCAGGATTTTAAAAAAGAAAAGTTGCTATACATTATAATTGAAAGAGATTTTGCTAACCCAAATGCCTTGTAACAATTTAATAAACTTGAAATATGAAAGTATAACTATTGTTTACCTTAATTGCTTTTTGTGCATTAGGAAGTCCTTCCTCAATATCTTCCAAAAGTATTCCTCCTAATCCTCGTTGATCATGCTTATCCAAAAGCCTCAGCAGGGCCTTTTTATCTTTTAAGTTATACTTAGGCTTGAAAGCATATTTCCCATCTATAACTTCTATTTTAGGATTGCTGATAAGGGCCTAAAATGAAAACAAAACAAAAAGGAACTCGGCTGATAGGAAATGCTATGTCATTTTTATATATGGACTTTGTAAAATTAGTAATGATTGAACTGTGTGCTTCTGTTTATCCTAGTATGAACAGAAGACTGAATCATTTTGAGAAATTAATAACCAAAAACAGAATCTGCCTGGGGCATGTTTTTATGAATCATCTTTGATCAGTCTCCTTAGAATAGCATATTTTGCTATATCTGTGTCTCATAAATGACCTAATTAGTCAATCGGTCTCAGTGTAGGGGTAGGTCGTATTGATATACTTCAAACAGAGCTATTTTCATATTTTACTTTCAGTTATTAGATCTATTAACTCAAATATTTTTTACATGTTGTAAATTCTAAATTTTATTTTTAGCATGTGTGAAAGTAAAATACTAAATTTTAATTAAAAAAGGGTAAAACAACTATTTTACATTTGGAAAACATCATATAAAAATATCTGAGAATACAAAAAGTGTGTGTTTCTGTATACATATATTTATTTGTGTGTCTGTATGTATATATATATATATATATATATTTCTAATAACACTAAAACTAAAACTAAAACAGTGACTCCTGGGTGTGATCATCTTTCCAAAAACAAACTGTGAACACCAGGAGTATATCAAACTATACAAGTTTAATAACATAAAACATAAAACAAAACAAAACTACACCAAGCTTTCGTCGGACTCCTTCCGACTTCGTCAGGGT